TAAGCCGCCTTATGTGATCACAACCATTATACTGTACTACTCTCGATCCAGCAATGTTTTGTTTCGGCAGTATGTACGTAAGTATTTACATGATACGACCACCTCGCCACATGCAAGACAAACAAACAAGGATGAATGGCATACGCGTTGGGAAGACGATATGAGCGAAAATAACGAATAAAAATCTTCTCGAAAAGAACGAAGTTTGCGGGTGTCAAATTGCTCATGTACGCATCGTAAATGCATGTTGGGAAAAGTTGAGGGAATGTAAAAAATCTCGAATAAAATAAAAAAACAAAAACACTATTTAATCTTCAAATGCCTTTCATTATACCTTATTGTTACATAGTGGAAATGGGAAGAACCTCACTCAGCAGTTCCTGAGTCTATGCGAACAACGAAAAGCCTTCAGGGAAGAACATGAAGAATACATAAAAATCAACCCGTCAATAAATAAATACTACAATGATTCTATAATAAATCTCGAGTATTTTCTATGACACAGGAAGATGCAACGAATGAATATATATTTATTACAGGCGGGTCTATACGTATATAGGAATCATCAGTCACATGATTTAAAATGTGATGATTGCGAAGAAAGTTTGATATCAAGGCAAGAAGGATATTAGCAAGAGTGTCGATACACTCGAACAAATCTGTCCGAGACTATAGAGCAAATTACATTTCACTTAATATCCAGGGTAACATTGAAAATTTTATATAGGTATAAATATAGATATAAATGTAGATATATATATATTGTGTTGTTTTGGGGTACAGGGATGATGTGAAAATAATGCAAAAGGTGGTTATGTAAAAAGAAGAGAATACAATGTACAGGTAAAAAGGAAACACAGACAAAAAGATGCTTCAACTAATTATACCTTCCAAAAGGAGAATGTAAAGAGGACATACACCCATACAATCATCCTATACCGCACCGCACCGCATTAGTTCTATTTTTGTTGGTCGTAAGGGAGGTGAGCACCACGACCTTGAGGACGGGGAGGTTCACCAATTACATCTCGATGAAATTGCTCCAATCTCTCATGCTCTTCATTATCAACTTCTTGATACATCTCTTCGTTCCTGACATCCTCTGGAGTGATGCGTAAAGCTTTGCCCGTTCGCTTTTTGTGAATTTCAGACGCTTTACGAGCTGATTCGATACGTGCCTCCATGCTACGATCCTATTGCAAGTTTTTGACAAACGAAAAAATCCATTATAAAAACGGTAACGCAGAAATCCTTTTTTGGAATGTCGGAATGGCACAACACCAACGCGGAAAAATCCTTGCCCGAATATCAAGAACAAGTATATGCCTCGAAAGGTGTGCTATCTGTGCACTGTACAAATAATCATTTACTCACCCCTCGATGGCTTGCTGCGATGTAGGCACGTTCTTGATTTTCTGAAAGTGCAGAAATATGTTGAAAAAATGTTTGTTTTTTTTTCCTCAAACACCGTACGAACCTTCGTGAGTTCTTTCTTGGTTGCGCTTGTGAAGTGTTGTCATTATCTTTGGATACCAAATGGAATATCTTTCTTTTTTTACGATAAGTCGATTAATGTAAAAACGACACAAGAAAGTAAAGGATATGATTATAAATTTTGCTGTGAATTTATTTGGTCCTTAATCCTTTATTAGATTACGTAATCAATCTACCTTTACGTCAGAAACAAAGAAATTACTAATAAAATCTCGCAAAGGATTATTTGACTATTAATCTCACATCTAAAAAAAGTCTGTTGTAATTCTGTCGTCATTACTATAATCTCGCTCATCTTCTATTCAAATGATGTAGATTATGACGTATAATTGAAATCAATGTTTGGTAATTAAATAATTCTCGGGCATAATTAGTACGTACATATGATTGATT